GCACTTACAGAGCTGGCCGATCAGGGGGTTGGGGCACTGCCCCCTGTCACGCACAAAGCAGGGCCCATCAAGGTGGTCAGGGTTCCGTACCTTGTCATGCACAGAGCAAGGCCAATCAGGAGGTTGTGATGCCACCTTCAGTCACGCTTAGGGTAGGGTCAATTGGGGGGTTGGGGTGGCGCCCCCTGTCACCCACAGAGCAGGGCCGGTCAGGGGGTTGGGGAGCTCTCCCCTATCAGGTACAGAGCAAGGCTGATCAGGGGGGTGGGGCACCTTCCCCTGTCAGGAACAGAGCAAGGCGGATAGGGAGGTTGTGGCCCCGCCCCCTGTCACACACAGAGCTGAGAGCAATCAGGGAGTTTGGGCACTGCCCCCTGTCACGCTGCTCCAGGGCCCAGGAGGCCTCATTGCTCCACTGATCCCGGTGCTGGGAGGTCTCGCTCCTCCGCTCATCCTGGTGCTGGGAAGCATATTACCCTTTTACTATATAGGATAGAGGCCTGGTGCATGGGTGGGGCTGGCCGGTTTGCCCTGAAGGGTGTCCTGGATCAGGGTGGGGGTCCCCACTGGGGTGCCTGGCCAGCCTGGGTAAGGGGATGATGGCTGCTTGTTTCCTCCATCACTGAAGCAAGCAAGCCTCATGTTAGTTTCAAGCTGCCTGGCTGCCAGCCGCCATCTTGGCTGGCAGTTAATTTGCATATTGCCCTGATTAGCCAATGGGAAGGGTAGCGGTCGTATGCTAATTACCATGTTTCTCTTTTATTAGATAGGATTATCATGGCAGGACACAGTATTGTTAACAAAAAAGAAAACCACCCTAAATATTTTATTTCTTACAGATACAAAAATTATTTTTAAATATTTAAGTACTATAGCAGCATTGATGTGCAAAATATTACACATGAATATCATTTTAATTTGTTAAGAAGAATCTGGAGTATTGTGCTTTCAAAATGGCACATCCATCCACTAATTCTACCCACTTTATTCAGACTGAAGACTGTTGGCAGGGGCACATGAAAGTACAGTCTGGTGTCTAGCAACTTTTGCTTAAATTATAGCAGTTATTGGAATCATGCTGTGTCTCTTAAAAACAAAACACAAAAATTGAAAAGGATTAAATGCAATAGAATTGCTATTTTCAAAGTAGTTGTCACTGAACAGACCTGCCTCACATTTTTTTTAAAAAGTCATGAAATATCACAAAACCTCACAACTTCTAGCAAGACCGTTTTATGATTTCACTCTAGAAGATTAAATTAAATATTTTTCTGCCCCAATTTACTCTCCATCTAAGCAAATTGGTATTTCCCAAAATTCATCTACTGCGTTTTAAATAAGAAGAAATCTGTTTATTCTAGCTAAGTATTAGAACAATTTCAGTTATTATACTTCTGCACTTTGGCTCAAATAAACTTTTGATTAGTTAATTTACAAAAGTTTGTTATCTTCTCTACTTACATCAACAGGAATGGGTCAATCTACTTTTCTCTGAATTTGAGTCTTTCTCTATTTTTTTCTTTTCAATGCACAGTCTTTAGCTTTTGTAAAAGGTCTTTAGCTATGTCCTGAGCCATTACCTGCTGACAAACAAATACTTATGAAACATAGAAGACAAGATTAACTCAATTTTATTTTATTCAGTTACACATATTCTGCTCATCACTTTGCTTGTGGCTTCTTTAACATCCTTGTTCCTCAAACTGTAGATCATGGGGTTCAACATAGGGATCACTGTGGTGTAAAACACAGCCACCTTTTCCCCTCCTCCACGGACTCACTCCTCTGTGGGACGTCTGAGATACATGAAAATCCCCTGTTCCACGGACTCCTCTGTGGGACGTCTGAGATACATGAAAATAAGAGTCCCATAAAATATGATGACCACTGTCAAGTGGGACCCACAGGTGGAGAAGGCCTTCTTCCTCCCTTCTGCTGAGTGAATCCGTAGGATGGCAATGAGAATGAACAGATAGGAAATGATAACCACAGTCAGGGAATAGGTGAAGTTAATGCCTGCAAGAATGATCATGGTATATTCTTTGACAAAGGTCCCAGCACAAGCCATTTTGATAAGAGGCGGGTCTGCACAGTAGAAGTGGTTGATCTCAATTTTTCCACAGAAGTACAAGCCATAAGTCCATAATGTTGCTGCCAGACTAGTCAGAAAACCATATATGTAAGGAAAAGAGATCAGTCGAATACAGACAACCCTTGACATTCTGCTGCCATAGAGCAGATGTTTCCCAATTGCCATGTACCTATCAAAGGCCATCACAGCAAGGATAAAAATGTCTACATGGACAAGGGCAATGAAGAGGAAACACTGTACCAGACAGCCAGTGTAAGAAATAGTTTTTGTCTCTGATAACAGGTTTTCCAACATTTTAGGGGTGACATTGGAAGAAAACCACACGTCAACGAATGACAGATGACTGAGAAAAAAGTACATGGGGCTATTGAGCTGTGGACTGACCTTGATTAACATGATCATGCCAATATTGCCCACTAAGGTGATAATATAGACCACAAGAAAAATGATGAAGAAAAGAACTTGCCATTCCCGATGACTAGTTAGTCCCAAAAGAATAAACTCTTTCACATCGGTGAAATTGAGCATTTTCTCACTTCTAGGTCAATGTGAGTTACAAATCTCTGTGACAACAAAAAGGAAATAAATTTAAAAATCAGGTATTGATTATTTATTCATTTATACTTTTATTCATGTCAGTTTCATTATTTTCTTTATTACATAGCTATGACTGCCTTTTGTCATTATTTTCAGTAAATCTTTTATGAACAGTTGCTATGCAACAGGATCTCTGCAGGTCACGAAGAATAATAAGTTCTCAGGCTCATTAACATAACAATTATATAAAATATTATGATTGAAACATGCTAGTACTAAATATTGTGGTTAGCCAAATTTCCAAGACTATCTTTTAGACATCCTTCATTTCTAATCCTGGCTCAATTGGTAGTTTCACATTTTTAAGATATTTATGAAGAGTTATACTTCTCTTTTAACCACAAGTCAAAATAAATTTTTATGTCATCTTTTCTTATTTTAAGTATATTCTCCAGGATTAGACATAAAAGCCATTTAATCAAAGAACTCATTCCTAAATGTCAGATAAAAATATATTTTGGATCTAACCTCATACTTGTACTTAACTTAAACTGGAGTGGGACAAACTAACCACAGTCATCATCAAAACCGAGTGCAAAGGGTGAACCACTTATACGCATTCATCCATATTCATACATTTTACACATTCCCTGCATATGGACTCTTTGGCATATCTAACATGTAATTATAATCTACTAGAGACCCGGTACACAAAAATTTGTGCACTCAAGGGGGAGGGGGTGTCCCTCAGCCTGGCCTGTGCCCTCTAGCAGTCTGGGACCCCTCGGGAGATAACGACTTGCTGGCTTAGGCCTGCTCCCGGGTGGCAGAGGGCAGGCCCAATCCCTAGGTGCAGCCCCTGGTCGGGCTCAGAGCAAGGCTGATTGGGGATTT